CCCAGGCGGGTCTTGAACCCAAGGGCTCAGGCCCATCCACTCACCTCAGCCTCCCAAAGGTGCGGGATTACAGGCTGAGCCACCGAGCCCGGCAAAAAATTTCATTTCTAAACATAATATAAATACCTGTAAATGACTGACTTCTTACATAGGAGAATGAAAGAGATGTGAATTTTTAAAAAATACCTACAAAAAATCAAAATGAAAGCAAGAGAATGTAACAAATCATATTTCCCAAATTAAATAGAAATAGGATTCTAATATACAGGTTGAGTATCTCTTCTCCAAAATGCTTGGGACCAGAAGTGTTTGGGATTTTAGATTTTGGAATATTTAAATTCCTTACTTGTTGAGCATTCCAAATCTGAAAATCTGAAATTCCAAATGCTCCAATGAGCATTTCCTGTAAACATAATGTCAGTGCTCAAAAATTTTTGGAGCATTTTGGATTTGTGACTTGGATTTGGGATGTTCAACCTGTATCATTATGCTAATTTTTCTTTTTCTTTCTTTCTTTTTTTTCTTGAGTTGGGGTCTCACTGTTGCCCAGGCTGGAGTACAGTGGCACGCTCAAGGCTACTGCAGCCTCAAACTGCTGAGTTCAGGCAATCCTTCCGTCTCAGCCTTCCAAGTACCTGGAACCACAGGCGCACACTATCACGCCCGGCTTATTTTTTGATTTATTGTAGAGATGCGGTCTCACCAAGTTGTCTAGGCTGGTCTCAAACCCCTGAGCTTAGGCAATCCTCTTGCCTCGGCCTCCCAGAGTGCTGGGATTACAGGCTTGAGCTATCTTGCCCAGCTATGCTAATTTTTCTAATTTAATAATATTCATTTACATTTTAGCTATTTTCTTGATTCTTTTATTTAGATTTAGTCAGGAGATTTGTTTGGATTTAAAGTCTCTCACACACATATAAGGGCTTATTTGTCTAATTTTTAGATAAACTTAGTAGTTCCAAGATGAGGGTTGAATCAAATATGACACTTAAAAATTATCTTCTTTTGTTATGGTCATGGTATGAGGGGCAGACATTATTATTTAGCACAGTCAAAAAAGTAAGCCACTGATTTTTGTTATTCTACAGCTATTAAAATACTTTGAAAAATAATGTTTATACTTTCATTTAAGACCCAGGAAAAAAATTTGTCTATAAAATGTACCTTGTAGTTATGCTCTGAAATTGACCTATCTTCCTTTTTTCAGGTTTCCTATGAAGATGTGGATCGCTTAAAAGGATTGGCAGTTATTGAAAACATGAGAGTTCCTCACTTCCTGCAGGACCATGGCCGATATATGGAACACTTAGAGAAGATCATGGAAGTGAATGAACTGACTGACAGGGAACTGAAAGATCTTATATAGTAATTAGTTTTCTTGCAAACATAGCTAAGCTATACCTCTATGTATATTACCAATTAGGTGCAGTTAGCACCAGCAGATTTATAAAAGGAGAATGTTTACTTGAGTTTTCTGAAGAATGGCCTTTAGTATTCAGCTGAATTTTTAGGTTACATACAAACCTTAAGTTATTTCCCTAAAATGTTTCTATAGGCTGCAAGGGGAAGTTGCTCTTGTTTTCCGACTTTCAAGAGAATCAGCTGAAAATACTGCTGAGTGTTTTTGAAGACTCTTGGTGGAATTGAGTGATGAACTTCTGCCTGAGCAGTGAGTGCTGGCCTTGTGCTCCTGCCTGAGTACCAAGGCTGGCCCCAGCTGGAGCCTGGCTGAATTCCACTGTTGTCAGGCTCCAAAGTTATGCTTTATTTGACAAATAATGGTAATTATTCTCCTTAAAAGGTAGTTTTCTGATGATCCAAGAAGCTAGCTATATCAAAGATTTTTTATTTCTTTTATAGGTTAAGTAATTTTAAAGGGAAGGGGAAAGCAGTTGGAAAAATTTTCATTAAGTCCTTTATTTTAACATTGTTTCATCTTATCAGCTTATAGGAACTAAATTAGAAAATTACCTCTTTTTGTCCAGTTATCTCTTAACTATGTTTTCATTTGCTGAAACATATTGTACTTTACATTTTAAGGTCTTTCCCACTACATCCTTTATAGAAATGATAAGTACAAGTTACAAAGAGAATTTTCTGCATAAATCACAATAGTTGGGAAGGGCTACTCACCTTTTTATTAAATTGAATATGTTACAGGCACGGGACAAATAGACTGATGTAGTTAAATGTAGGGACTGGGTAGCACTCACAGTAAACTTGAACCCTGCTCTCAGAAGAGAAATTTCCAGCCATTGCTCTTTGATAAGATGACTTTGTAATATTGGCTCAGTGTATTTTAGCAATATCCTTGACTTCATCAACCCAATAATGACATAGTTTGAGTTTTAAAATAAGAGTCCTGTTTTGCTGTATTTCTCCTGCTATAACTTATATGCCCAGTTTTGTAACTTATCAGTTTCATTATATACTTGGATATATATACATGGGATTAAATGGGTCTTCATACAACTTACTTAATGATCAGAAAGAATGCCGCTGTAAGTACTCCATTCAGGATTGCTGCTGTAATTTCTACCCAAAACTATCCGAGAGTTACCTCAGTTCAGGCTAGAATATGGTGCTAACACTGGTAGATGTATACTGTGAAGCCTGGTTCATATTCATGCTGGCTAGGTTATGTGATTTTTTTCTTTCACATATCCAGAAGGGCTTGCCTCAAAGAAGAATGTTGCAGCAAACAAAATATACTCTAGCTGATGCCTGGGAGTTTTTGCAAAGCCATACATCTTACCTTTGGCAGTCAAGAGCCAGGAGCTTTGGAGTGTTGAAAGGCCTTACTCCCTGAGCTATACTCACCCCCCAACATGTGCCATGCTGGCGGGTGTGCTGGGCTGGGGCAGAGTGTGCCAATACAAACCAGACACTAGAATCTGCTCTTAGCACCTCAAGCATGATCTCCTTGCTGCAGAGCCATGCACTTTCAGCTGTGTGTAGTGTTTTCTGGCTTCATTTTAAAATTTATCAAAGGTGATTGTGAAAACAGTATCTTAGAAGTATAGATAGAAATGGCAATGTTTATGCCCTGTGATTCAAGCCCAAAGGTTATAGATTCAACTTTTGCAGGCAGTAGCACTACTAATCTTATGTTATGGTTTAAATATACAGGAAAATCACAGCAGCCTTAATTTCCTATTGGTGGGAACATTTATAGTGGTTCTGGTTCCCGAATTTTAAAATGGGTGAATATTTTCTCTGTCTGATTTGGAAAAGGAACTGCTTCCTTGCCTTATTGCTTTGGTATAAAGATGAAAAACTTGAGCAGTTTGCAGACAAAATGACCTTAAATCACATCGACTGTCTTAAGATATTTTAAAAGTTAGCATTGAACCAAAAGTAGTTTCAGATTAGCAGAAATACTTAACTCTAAACTTTAAAAGTTGAGGTTGAATATTGGATAAATGTTTATTAATTTTCTTTCCTGAAATAGCAGTAAGGTCAGTTTTGTTCCCTAAAATAAAATTTTTAATAAACAGAAAATTATAGCAACAGTACTTAGAAAAATAAAGATTATATTAATTTTAATTATAATCATTATTTGCTATAGGCTGTTGATGATTAGGATTTCATCAGTTTTGTTTGCTATAATTTTAACATATAATGGTATCAAATACAAATTCTGATAAACTGTTAGTTTTTGACATCAGATGGGATTCAAAGTAAATTTATGTCTGCAAACATAAATCCATAGTCTTCATTTCTTTATATTTTCACCTTTGTAAAAGTGTTTAAAATTTGTAGATTGTCTTATATATCTTTGGGCATTTTGTGTCTACCTATATTAAAAAGAAATACAACTGAGATTCTCCAATGAAGTAGTTTGGATTTATATGCATGTAAACTTGTTTTCTTTGCAATCCCAATTATATTTTTATTGTGGTGTTTCTTGTTTTTTATTTTGTGGTGATTATTGCAAGGACATCAGTTATGCTTGTCTTCTAGTGCCCTTACTTATAGAGAAGTATTACCTTTGCCACACTCCACCTTGCCCCTTGTTGTTTTAGCTTATTCTCTCATGGGGCACATGGAAAAGGGAAAAGGAGAGGAAAGGACACTTTTGTTATAAGGTACTACCCTGTCCATTTGGTAAACTTCTATGCAGGACCTATCGAGCAAGATCTGTGCTGAGTACCAGATATCCTCTGATGAAGAAGAAAAGACACACAGTTCAGTGAGGAAAGGTGCAGAAGCAGGTCACAGCACAGTCAGTCCCGTGCCCAAAAAGTGCTACCAAAGGAATACACACTCCAGTCAGTGGGCCTGCCCGTGTGTTTGAAGCAGAGAGAGAAAGATTATCTGCAAAGCGCTGATTGTTCATGGGATTTTATTTCTGTTCTTTGTGAGGATTGTGTTTGGAGCCAAAGCAGCTTTAGCCCAGGGGAAGGAGTAGACCAAGAAGGCAGTTACTTGGGTCCTCAAATCTCTGGGGGAGAGCCCTTGAGACCTCCTGCTTATGCCCAAGGGAGCCAACATTTCATCTTGAGAAGATGCACTTGGAGCAGGGACCAAGAGGAACGTGCACGTGCCCTCACCCATCAGTAACAAGGGACTGGTCTTCTCATTCAAAAATGTATCTGCACTGTGTAAGCGTTGTCAACCAACTATCATTTAAAACCACTTTTGTTCACTGTAATTCCAATAGTTAACTTGAAACTGGTGCCAGAATGTGAAATACCAGTGCTTTTCAGTGAGCTGTGGGTAAGCTTTAAGGATAGGTGGCATTTCAGTGGATGATAGTCTCAAGATTGCAGGGCTCCGGAGACTTTCTTTTCCTCAACATGGGGATGAGATAATCCTGAAAAAAATCCTGTCACTATATATCTGTCACTAAATTTCTTTTTTTGAGTTGGAGTCTCACTTTGCCACCCAGACTGGAGTGCAGTGGCTGCTCCCGGCCACTGCAGCCTTGACCTGCTGGGCTCCGGCGATCCTTCCGCCTCAGCCTTCCAAGTGGCTGGAACTACAGGCGCGCGCTACCACGCCCGGCTAATTTTTTTTTTTTATTTATTATAGAGATGAGGGCTTGCCAAGTTGCCCAGGCGGGTCTCGAACCCGCGGGCTCAGGCAGTTCACTCACCTTGGCCTCCCAAGGCGCGGGATTACAGGCTGAGCCACCGAGCCCGGCCTACTAAAATTCTTAATAGCAGCAAAAATGTAATGATCTAAGGTGTAAATATCTCAAATTTATATAAATCAGCTATTTGGTTCTCTTGCCATTTAAAAATACCTCTATCATATTTACTTTCCTAATTAATTGCTGCTAAGAAAATTAAAAAGCTTGTCTCCTGCAGGTCCACTGACCCCTCTAGATGGAGGAAGACAGGGATTCTTGTCATTGGTTTGTGGTACAGATCTCATTTCCTCTGTGGTGATTTATTTGGAGTGATCCAGTCAGCAGTTATGAGGGGGACACCCCCTAAAAATTTGGATTCATTTGTATTCTTACATGTTTAAACTTCAGTCTCCTTCAAAGTATTATCCATTTGAAGCAATACACTTACCGAGACACTTTTTCCACTGCTCAAAACAGTTTTTGAACTCATCAATTTGGGTGTCGAGTGCTTCTGCCGTTTTTGTGTTTTAGTTCTTCCTCTTCCACATGGGCAAAACATTTCTTTAAATGGACTTTAAAAAAAATCATTTAATTTTTAAATGTCGCTCAGGGTGAGATTGGGTGAGTAGGAAGGGTCGGGCACCCGGGTTGTGCCATTTTTATCAAAAACTGCCAAACAGTGCAGTGTGGGCAGGTGCACTTGTAAATCATACATCATGAAATAGGCAAATGCCTTGAATCTAAAAAAAAAAAAAATTCTCTGAATCCGAACGCAGTCTCTCACAACAAGTGCTAGCTGGTACACAGATGCTAATGGGTTCCTAGAACACTCACCTAGCAGGAGAAGCCTGTATTACAAAGGGGGCTCGCCCTCTAAAAAAAAAAAAAAATGTCCTCTGTTTTTTGTTCCCCTCCTCCCCTCCTTTGGTCCCTTCTCCTAGATATTAGCAAGCAAAGAACAGCCAGCAGGACCTTTGGGCAGTCTGAGCACAAGCAAGAAGTCTTGAGTGAATTTCTGAGTGTCCCTTCACAATTCTCCACTAGAGGGACCACTAATTATTTTCTTTTTCCCTTCTCTTTCTTCTCTTGTCCCTTCAAATATTTTTTTCGGCTGGAGGACCTCTATATGTTTAATCATGCTAGTTGACCCTTGCAGCTAAATCCCTAAACTCATTTTAAGCAAGTATAACTCTTCTAGGAAATATGTGTGTGTGATTTTAAAGAACCCAAGAGAGGGAGTCTCCTGCAGGTCTATTCCAAAATGCTTCTTCCTCCAACCAGTGGAAATCTCACAGTGAAAAGTTTGACACAAAATTCCTCGAGATGATTTATGATGAAAAGCAAAATATGTATTCTTTATGTTTGCTATTTACAGCCTTGAAAAATATCTTCAATAACATTCCTCTGTGTCCACTTGAAATAATAGTTATATGAAATATGAACAATGAAATATCACCTATTGGGTAGCATGTACACAGATGAGGGTGGCAGGTACTTACTGCCCAGACTTCTTTGCCACTATACAATCCCTGTAACCAAAAACTATTTGTACCCCCTAAAGCCATTGAAATTTTTATTTTTATTTTTGTTTTAGAGTAGGAGTCTCACTCTGTCACTCTGCCCAGGCTGAAGTGCAGTGGCACACTCACGGCCACCGCAGCCTCGACCTGCTGGACTTAGGCAATCCTTTGGCCTCAGCCTTCCAAATTGCTGGAACTACAGTTGCATACCACCAAGCCCAGCTAATTTTCTGATGTACTGTAGAGGCGAAGTCTTGCCAAGTGGCCCAGGCTGGTCTCGAACCCCTGGACTCAGACAATCCTCTCGCTTCCACTTCCCAAAGTGCTGGGATTAGAGGTGTGAGCCATTGCGCCTGGATGCTATTGAAATTTTTTTTTTTTAATTCATATCCTATTTTATCTTACCAACATAATTATCTTAGATACTTCTCAGTGAAACCCATTTTTTTTCTTTTTACAGA